CTGTTGGCTCATTCAGGCTCCTTCCTCTTCTCCAGTGTAGTGAGGAAGCCCAGTTTTCTCCCCTGAAAAGTAGAGCTTTTAATAGCACATTCCTCATTGAATTAAATGAGCTAATACATGCACCAAGAACAAGCCTGGCAAGTACTCAGTAAATGCTGGCTATTTGTTTAGTACTGAGCATGGGGGATAACAATGTACAGGTCCAGATTTCGCAGTAAACAGAACAAAGTATGTAAAGAAGGGAATGTTTGAACTGCTCCGTAGAGGATAAGAAGGGGGTGTTCACTAAGGATGCAGATGAAGCCCGGGCCAAGCAAACTGTACAAAAGACAGCACAGAACAATGAAACTAATAGGATATCTAGGGGATTGTAAACAATTCATTAGAGCCAGATTAAGAAGTATCCTATATAATAAGAGACTAATATGCAAAGACATGAAATGGCAGAATAACTGAACAATCAAGGCATAATATGCTAATAATATGCTAACAATGCTCAACCACTTGCTATGACATGCACTGACCACCAGGGGCAGGCAGTCAACTGGTTGACCAGTTGTTATGATGTATACTGATCACCAGGGGGTAGATGCTCTGACCGGTAGGTTAGCTTGCTGCTGGGGTCCAGCAGATTGGGACTGAATGAGATGGGCCGGACATGCCCTGGAGCCCTCCTGCGGTCCCTCCCTGGTCTGATTGTGCACTGGTGGGGTCCCTCAGTCTGGCCTGTGTCCTCTGGCAATCCAGGACCCCTTGGATGATGTCGGAGAGCAGGTTTCAGCCTAATCCTGCAGGCCACTCGCCTTGGGAGGGCGCCAGATGCAGAGGCTACAGCAGCCCGAACCTCTCCTGATCAGGACTGATTGGGTGAGAGCCTGAAGCAGGCACAGGGGGCTGGGATAAGTGGGAGCAGCAGGTAGCATTGGACTGCAGGTATGAGCCCTATCCCTACAGACCACCCAGAGGGATCCCACCCATGCACAAATTCATGCACCAGACCTCTGGTGTGAGAATGAGAGAACTTTCAGTGTTTCCTGCCCAAACCTATGTGATGGGAAGTGATAAAAGGACAAACTTCCAGGTTGATGGTGACACCATTAACTAGAAATGAAATATGGGAGGTGACAGGGTTTGGCAGTCTTTGGTCATCTGGTATATGAGGGGCCTTTGAGACCCACGGGGAAATATACAATTGGATATGCAAATCTGGGGCTGAAACTTGGCTGGAATCAAGAACCAGTGTGGAGAATGAGAAAGGAACTACATAATCTACACTGGCATTCAAGGACAGTTGCCAGAGAAAGAGCCAGAGAAAATAGAGACACGAACCAGGATAGCATGGGGCCCTGGAAGAAACCAAAAGAGGAAGAAGAGTTTCACATCAATTGGGATGTTTTTGAAGAAAAATGACAGAATACTTAACTCAAATTGGTTTAAACTGTCAAGATTTATTGGCATATATATCTGGAAACACAAACCTCTGCTGGATCACCCCTAAGCCTGGGGTGAGGAATTCAGCTTACCATCAACAGCTAGCAGTTACATTGAGTGCCTATTATGTGCCAAGCATTGCTCATCAATAAACAAAACAGGCTAAAAGTTCCACCTCCGGGGCAGTACATATCGATACAAATGCTTCTTGGTATCTTTTTATTTTTTTTCTTTTCTTTCTACTGCATTAAAATTTGCCATGCTTCAAATTGGGAAAACTATCAAGTGGAAGGAGATCAAGAGAGAAAGCTTCAGAACTTAATGAAAAGTTCAGCAAAACACTTGCTGGAAATGTCACACCTTTTTGTAGGACTGTCTGGCACTCCTGTACTAAGGTAGAACAGGAGAGCAGTTCTGTATGGATACAAAACTCTAAAATCCAAAATTCCACCACGGGTACATTTTAAAGTTGTTGTGGATTTAAACTCATCAGTTTCCACCTATCAAGTTGAGTTGCTAAGTTCATTCAAATATCTATAAAACAATCACATTTTTCAAATATCTCTGGTAGGGTTTTGTATCTCAATCAGGTGGCAACATGTTTTATATATATGTAGGCCATGTCCAAACCTGCATTAGTTCATTCATATTTTAATTGTCTCTCCTTTCATTTGGAAATTATTTTAATGGCTAAAAGGCAGTGTCAATTTTCTCAACAATGCTGATTCCTTTTAGAATATTTTCCACAAAGCTCTATAAGGCTATTTACACTTAAAATTTTAAAATGACCCAAAAATGCTTAAGTTCTTTTCTCAATTTTATCCTTATACAAAGGAGTCCTTCACACCTGATACAACTTCCTTATCCTAAAGGTGAGCAAACTACCAGAAATATCACTTGATTTGATTCTCTAACAAGGAAGCAATTTGATTAGAGGATTTCTCTTATCTATATGGATTTTTCTAAGCTTTTCACTAGCTAAACCAAGCAGCTCCTTACCTGAGAACCCACAAGGACACCTAAGCAAACATGATCTCTAAAGGGATAAAGAATCCATTCTCTAATATGGTGACAGATGTAGAAAGTGCCAGGAAAGACTACATTCCAACCAGATATACTTTTGTGGAAGGTGAAGAAACCTATAAGCAAGTTCATCTCCCTTCCCACTGACCATCATTTTGAGAAGAAACCCAAGATACAAATGGCTGGAACTGTTCCAAAACATTTAGTCTCCTTCCTTGTATCTTCCCTTCCCCCTCCCAAATGAAAAGTAGCCTGGCCTATGTATCACAGATGCACAATTCTCAGAAGTTGCTCCATAATCTCACAAGTGTGGTTAAAATATTGGAACATACAACCCCTCCAAAAAGAATAGCAGTACTTGTTTCCTCTCCATTCTGTTACCTTTTAGAAAGGAGGCTCAAAGCACCATTGGGGACTGCTGTAGTGAGCTTTTGTTCTGTCTTAACTAATTGGTGTAAGCTGTGAAATGGGAATGGAACAAAATGTTTAAAAGATTTTTCAGAGTGGCTTGCTGGGCTTTTTTTTTTTTTTTTTTTTTTGTGGGCATATGGTTTGCTTTCATTTTTTAATTTTATAGTATTTTAGCAACTTCTGAGTTGTTTCACCAACACATGTTTTCAGACTATACAATGAGTGGCCAGATTATAATGATCTCTGAATGCATAATAATCTGGCTACTCAGTGCATATCCTATGTAATATAATAAAATATGCAAATTGTCCCCTTGACCAGTTTGACCAACAGGCAGGCTGGCCAACTGCCCTGTCCCCCATGCACCAGGCCTCTAACACACACACACACACACACACACACACTCTGAGTGGCCAGATTATTATGTACTCAGAGATCATAATAATCTGGCCACTCAGTGTACATTTTGCCTCATTAATTATAATTCCATTTAATTTGATGCCACAGTGGGTTATGCTTTACCAGTTGATGCCACCCCCCTCCAAATTATTCACATACAAAGACTTCAACCTTAAACAGTTTCTTGCTTTGTCAATTACTTCAATTTTGGTATTCATACATTTGTAAACCTAAGGATAGGCAGCTGCAATTGTTTTTTTGTAAATTTGAGACATACTAGAAATCATCATACTGTTACATTCCTTGCTTATTCCAAAACCATGGCTAGTATACTTTTAATGACACAAATTTTAATCTACTTGATCATGTTCCCAACTAAACAAATTTTATAGGTTTTTTAAAGATTGGCTTCCAATATGGGGGGAAGCAATTGGACTTGAGGTTTTTTAAAACTAAAATCTTATTTTTACACTATAAATGCAGGGTGTCCTGTAATTAACACTACCTCTTAAAGGTAAGAATCATGGAGAGACTGATGCAGTGTATTTTTTCCTTTTATTATTCAAAATGTTACAAATAACAGCACTACATTTTGGACCATATAACTCAAATCAAAGATTACCTTCCTGACTACAATCTTGTTTTCTTGATCACTATATGCAGCATTAAAATAGGAGCTGGGTAGAGAAACCATGTAGAAGTAGGGTTGGCTGATAAATTATAAGACGTTCAGTTAAATTTAATTTTCGGGTAAACAAATTTTTAGTATAAATAGGTTTTAAATATTACATATACTAAAGCATTAGTTATTGTTTATGTAAAATTCAAACTTAACTGTGTGTCCTCTATTTTTACTTTTGACATCTGGCAACTCTTTGTATTCAGCAAACTATAACAGAGAAATCAATGAATTTTTACAAAATAAGACATATATGATACGTGCAGTAATACAATCAGATGAGGAGAGGATCTTCACTACCCACTACATAAGGGTACCTAGAAAAGATGCCAATCACAGTTCCTAAGTTTTGATTGGCAGATGGTTTAGTGTGATGATTTTGGAGCTCAAGTGTCATGTGTTAAATCCCAAATTCACTGTTCACTATCTGTGTAACCTTGGATGTTACTCTTTATTATCAAATAAGACTACTAATACTTGTTTTACTAGGCTGTTTGAGGATCACAGGTAATGTATGTACAAAGCACCTTGTACACAGGAGAAAATCCCTAAATGGTAATGCCTACTATTAATATCACATGGCAAAGAAGGGTATGTCACAAATATTCAAATGTTAATGTAATGCAGTAATAGTACTATTGAATACTTAATTTTATTTCCATGATCTATTTACACTGTACAAACACTGTTGAAAAGAACTCTACAAGTTCACAGTACATTACATTATATTTACTTTAAAAAATATATTCCTTTATAAAAGGTTCATAGGACATTGGCATGTCAACATCTGACAGAAATCTCAAGTCACCAGTTCTGTGATAGCAAGAATGCTTCCAAGTGTTGTCAACTTCACAATCACAAGTCACCATTTGAGTTTTAAATACATAGAAGTTTTAAATAAAAAGTGAATTTTACAGTGGAAAGTTCCTGCCACAGAAATACTTATTAGGGTACTTACATGGAGATGACATTTCATATTTTACAATATCAACTTATCTGACCAAAAAACCATTTCATCAATAAGTTTCCCAGTCCAAAATTTGTCATTTGTTGTTTTCTACTTTTTCTTCTTTGTTGATTCTCCCGGTTCTACTTTACGCTTTTTAGAAGTATGCTCATCTTTTTCATCATCTTTAAACAGGAAAAGGAAAGGAAGAGTTTCAATCAGTAATTTTTAAAAAGCATTTCAATTTCATTTACTTTGTAACAATACCATCAGCTTCAACTATTTCTTTCAAAGTTTCCCCTCAAAAATCCAAAAATTAACTTTTAATACTTTGATTTTAAAGTGCAAGTAAAAAAAGGAATTTTGTTTCAATTGTTATACAAAATTCACCCTTTAGTGAATTTACCTATTTAAGGTAACCTAAAATACAAAAATCAGATTTTTTTTTCTGAAAAGGCTATTCCCATGTATTCCACAGCATATGTTGTATTTAAATATATAACCTACACTTCATACAAATGGAACACACTATTTTCCACACACACAATTTAACCACAACATTATTTAAGTGGCTATCAGATATTTTTTCCCTTCCAATCTGCTTTAACACCCCCCCCCCAAACAAACTTCCTTATCTTATCCCTAGACTCCTTATATTTTGCAATTTAAAAAAATCACAGGTTTCACTGTATTTTCTATTATGTCCTATGTAGTTAGTTCTACTCCCCTTACCCTCTCTATCCCATTCCTAGCAGGATGAGAATATTCCAATGGAAATAGAAAAACAGACATCTTTTCTCCTTCATATTGTGAAGAATTTGAGAGGGAGGATGGAGAAAGAACCTTACATTAAACTATGTTCTTTATAACTTTTCTAATGTCTATAGCTACAAAAATTAATTTGACAATCAATATAAATGTCAAAATGAGAAGTGGACCATTTTTGCAACTTAAAATATCTAACTACAGAAACAGAAAAAAAAAATAACAAAAACAGAAAAGAAAAAAAAAACCCAACTACATGTTTCAATAAAACATAGAGTAGCAGAGAGCAGCTGCTAACTTCCCATTTCTCTGAACAAATGTGTGGCTTGATTTTAAGAACATTACATAGATGGAATAAATAACTTGTAAAAGATACAATTTACAAAATACAAACTTATTTTAAGTACGTTACTGAAGTCATTGAACTTTTGACTTTATTTTCCCCATCAACAACAAATACTCAAAGTTCAAAACTATTACGTGGTGGTCTAAAAACTATGTTGAGTCGAAACCAGTTTGGCTCAATGGATAGAGCGTCGGCTTGGGGACTGAAAGATCCCGGGTTTGATTCCGGTCAAGGGCATGTACCTTGGTTGCGGGCATATCCCAGTAGGGGATGGTGCAAGAGGCAGCTGATCGATGACTCTCTCTCATCGATGTTTCTAACTCTCTATCTCACTCCCTTCCTCTCTGTACAAAATCAAAAAAATATATATATAAAAACTATGTTGAAGGGACCTTTATATTAAAAAATTTGGGAAGCCAATGTTACCAGGTCATACAAGTATAGAGGAAATATAGTTAAAACCTTAAGTCTTCAATTTCCTTTTGCTAACTGTACCATACTCAAAATATTTCCTTTGTTGATATGTGCAATAATATCAAGAACAGGTGATTCATCTTCATTCATCTTCAAACACAGCATGGAGATGTTATTCATACATTTTATAAAGCACTATGGATTTATGTAGACAATAGGATAAAAGACAATTCAGCTTAACAAATCATCCCAGGAATTTACAAACCAAAGTTTTAATCAGTAGTTTATTATATATACACAAAGATCCTTGCTCTACAAACCAAGTAAAATAATATGCAGCTCAAATAAACCAAGCCTATGGTTTTTAATTGGAGTTTAATTATCATCATGATTGACTTTAGAGAATATTTTCACTACAAATATAAAAATTAAAGTTACTTTGTAACTCTACTAGAAGAATCTGTTAACATATATTAAAAAGATTATCTTAAGACACTTTTGCTTTTAATCCAGCACTTGTTACAAGTGCATTTACTGATTAACAACAAAAACACAAATTACTGAGGCTGGAAAAGTTCTTATCACTGATATGAACAGAAGAGCTACTGCCATCTAGTGACATAACAAGGCATTGCCTTAAAAACCAGAGCAGGAAAAAAACACCTCCAAAACACTGAAATGTTTCTTCATCAGCTTTACTACTTTGTGCCATATCCTACAAAGGCAATAGTAAGAAAACAAGTTTTCTATTATGGAATTCGTGTCACCAAAAGTAAATAAGTTTAAATTATTAATACAAGCTAATTTTCTAAATTAAAAAAAGAAAGTATTAGCTACTTGAGCTAAGTTTTAATGATTAATAAAGCTACAATTCATTATCTAAGCGCCTTACAGATCTATATTTTACAACCACTAAATAAGAGGTGCTAATAAATAGCAAAATTCAATGACCAGTTTTGAACCTTCCCCAATTCCTCTTAAAATATCTGGAAAAAGTTAACTGGCAAAAAGGACAAAAGGCCGAAACTGGTTTGGCTCAGTGCATAGAGCCTCAGCCTTCGGACTGAGAGGTCCCAGGTTCGATTCTGGTCAAGGGCATGTACCTTGGTTGTGGGCACATCCCCAATAGGGGTGTGCAGGGGGCAGCTGATCGATGTTTCGCTCTCATCGATGTTTCTATCTCTCTATCACTCTTCCTTCTTCTCTGTAAAAAAAAAAATCAATAAAATATATATTTTTTAAAAATGGACAAAAAGGTAGAAAATGGGAAGAAAAGCATAATAATGTGATAATCTAAAAACTTAACATAAGATACTTTATGAATTAAGAGAAGGTATTTATTATAAGTAGATTTCAGGATTATCTTTTCATCTTGTGATCCAGCTTTAAACTGGTTGGGTGTGTTTGAGTCCTTTTGTTTTTTTATATTGCCAACATCCACTTTCTGATGGAGGACCATCACATGACCAAAAGCTTAGAAAATAACTATGGCAATAGCAGTTTGCCACATATTTGGAATTCCTTCTATCTGAACTCAATAGGCAAGCTGGAAAAAAAGAAAATTCTTTCCACTTGTCCTGGATATATAATCCTCGCCTTTCCCACAGAGGAAAAAGGAGAGCACCTGTGTATGGCACCCCAGTTACACCATCAACTCTAGTGGCCTTGCTGCCATACTTCCTATGGAATATTGGGCATATTTCTTATGCACTCTAACTTGAAAACTATAAAAAGATGAAACTCCAGTTTAATAATTTGTCCTTTCCACTTAAGGACCTGAATTTGTGAAGGAACCTACCTCGGAGCATGCCATTTTCTAGTTTTGTGGCTTTGGATATGTCACACAAGCTCTCATTTCCACATTTTCACAAGGTGTTGTAAAGATTAAAGAGTATTTACACAAAAGTGGTATTATTAATTATATAAAATACTATATGAGGTATTTAAATGCCCCCTTCATTTGGTGTCTTCAAAACGATGCATTTACTGATGATGTGCCTTGGTGGTTTCTAATACACACTGGGAAATCAGTGAAAGAAATGAAAAAGCCAAGAATAAAAACTGAAGAACTACCAGTTAGTTACTCTTGCTCTTAAAACAAACAAAACTCTGCATGGTTGTAAAAAGTGCTAATTGCTTTTGACTTACGGGAAGATGATCAGAAATCTGTTTAACAAAAAATGGTACACCCTTTCATTAAAATGATATTCCAAAATAAAACAGTAACAACAATTGTCCACTGAGTTCTTAGAATGTATACTACTGCAAACTTTGACACAAACATAAATAAAACCTGGACCTTGCTGTGTAAGGAACTCATTTTCATAAAGGAGACAGACAGTGAATACTAATCACATAAAAGGTGGTAAGTGCAATCAACAGCATTAGAATACACAGATACAGATATTTAATTAGAGGGAGGTAATAATCTTAGGTTTTCTTTTTCAAGTTGGATTTTGAAGGATAAATGAGTTTACCAGCCAAAGAGGAAGAGAACAACAGTCCAGACTATGGTGCAACATATACTGAAAGGCCTGGATAAAATAGCATGGAGCATTCAGGCTTGAATTTTAAGATCTAAAAGTGCTAGAAAGGGGCCAGGTGAAATGAGAGTGGAGAGAAAGGCAGAGTCCATCCCACAAAGCTTTGACTCTATGTTGTTGGTGAAGGGTATTGGGCAGGCGAGTTATATAATCAGGTATGACTTTTAGAAAACTAACATTATTAGCTGCAGTGTGAAGGATGAAAATGGGTATTAAAAGTGTGGCAGCAGAGATTACTGTGGCTACTTATAGTCCAAGTAAGAGATGAAATTATGACATTATGATGAAGGTAAGACGACGTGGTCATTACATTACTATTATTAATTACTATATAGTATTAACTCGGGTAAGCTCATTTTGTCACACTAATTTTCGCTTTACTTTTAATTTTACTTTCATATACTATGAAGCCTTCACAACTGCAAACACAAGGAAAAAAAATCCATGAATTAATTCTGCTGTTCTAATAATAAGCCGTCATCAATCCCATATACCACTGCCTGAGACAGCAGACACTTCACTCTAAGGCCTGAATAATTTATGCTCTTTCTCTAAAACAGGGCAAATACTGCCGGCTGAGGTAGCAGCGCTTCGAAGGTGACTACGTACCATCTTTAAAAAAACAACAACAAAAAACACACACACAAAAAAGCTGAAACCGGTTTGGCTCAATGGATAGAGCATTGGCCAGCGGACTGAAGAAAGGTCCCGAGTTCCATTCCGGTCAAGGGCATGTACCTTGGATGTGGGCACATCTCCAATAGGGGGTGTGCAAGAGGCAGCTGATTGATGATTCTTTCTCATCGATGTTTCTAACTCTCTACCCCTCTCTCTTCCTCTCTGTGAAAAATCAATTAAATATATTTAAAACAAAAAAACAAAACAAAAAAAACTCCAAAACAAACCACACAGTAAAAACTATTCAAAGGCCATCCTAATTAATTTGCTAACATGGCAGATGTCAATTTCATCAAGCACCCCAACCTTCCTGAACTCATCACCAGGAGCCTGCCTCTCCTCCTTACCCGACTCCACCGTCTCCTCCCCTTCGGGCAGCAGCCGCGCCCGCCGCACGCTCTGCGGGGCGTCGTCGCCGTTGTCCTCGTAGATGTTGGACCACTTGATGGCCATGTCCAGCTCGGGCGGCGGCGGCTTCTTCTCGGCGGCGTAGGTCTCGGGCGGCGGCACGCAGTTGGACTTCCAGATTTTGAATTCCTTCGGCGGCTGTTGAGCAAACACACACGAGGCGCCGTGAGGATCCGAGGCTCCCCGCATCCGTGGGGCACGTGCCCCTCCCTGCCGTTCCATTGATTACTGTCCAGGTTGACTTTTTTTTTTTTTTTTTAAGTTTAAAGATAACATTTCTTTTTTTTTTTTTTCCAATCCAAATCACAATACCGTTACGTGACAAGCCAAAGGGTTTTTCCCTATACGAAGAAAGCTAGTAACTTTTTAATTACCAAAGAAGAATCCAGTCCCAGACACTACGCCAAGGCTGACCCTTTCCGGAGGCGGCGGCCGACACTGTCTTGGAGGCAGCACCGCAGGCACTTCCGGCGTCAGGGGGGAGGGGTCCCGGGGACCAGCTGCAGCGGGGCGGGGAGTCACCACCGTTAGTCCTGGCCCGCGGGAGGGGCACCGAGCGCGGAGGTTTGGGGGCTCCTCACAAGCGGGCGGGGCGGCGGGGGCGGGGGCGCGGGCTCCCGGGGCGGGAGGGGGCGGGGCGCGGCATCCCCGGGGGTGACTGCGGGTGGGGGGGAGGGGCGGACTTCCGGTCCGGGAGGCGGCTCGGGAGGGCGCAGGCCGGGGCCGAGACCCAGAGCCGGGGGAGGGGAAGCCTCACCTCCTCGGGCGCCTTGACGACGTGCCGCTCCCAGTCGATCTGCTTGTTGAGCGGGTTGTAGAGGAAGGCCGGCCGAGTCACGCTGCGGAACAGCTCGTCGGGGCCCGGCAGCTTCTTGTTCGCACAGCCGCCCGCCGACTGCGCCGGGTCCGGGGCCCCGCGCCGCGCCTCCTCCGGCTCGCTGCTGTCCTCCTCGTCCGAGGAGCCCGAGCTGCTGCTCCCGTACGCGGCGAAGTAGCTCAGGGGGTCCTTCTCCTCCGCGGCCATGACGGCGATGCTCGGCGACCCAGGCCTCCGACGGAAGCCGGAAGCTGTCAGCACAGGCCCCGCCTCCGAGGCCCCGCCCCCTTGTCTCGCCGGTAATCGCGGGGAGGGGTGCTCCCCCTGGCGGCCGCGCCGCGCTATTGCTCCCGGCTGAAGAGGCCGCGCATGCTCCCCAGCAGGCGCTTTCTTGGCCCATTCCTGTCGGAGGTGAACTGAGAGGAGGCAGGCCCTGGGTCGGTGGTCCCAGCCAAACTTCCAGCGCTCAGGAAGTATCATTAAAGGTACAGAAGAGCTAAGAATTTTGTCATTTTACTGCCACTTCCCTTTAGGTCTTGCCTAGAGAAAACCACTATTTCTTTCTGATCCTGCTGCATCTTCTCTTCAAAAGAGAGAGAAAAACTATGAACAATAACAAATACTTATCTATCAACAACTGAATCTAAAAGTTAGAATAAACGATTAAGAAATTTAATGAAAAAAATAAACTGGTGAACCAAATAGAATCAGAAGCTTGGAAACATGGAACAGACTGAGGAATCTCAGAGGCAAAGGGGGAGGGCGAAGAGAAGCGGGGAGGGCAGAGGAGGAGGGGGTAGGGGGTAGGATTAACCTAAGATCTTACATAGACACAGACAGTATGGTGGTGAAGGCCTGGGGCGGGGTGAGAACCGGGTGAAGGGGTGTCATGGGGAGGTGTGTGTAAAAAGAGGGGACATCTGTAATACTCTCAACAATAAAGACTTTTTTAAAAAAAGAGAAAAAAAATCACTCAGTGTGCTTTCCTCAGTCATCATGGAGTGACACACGGAGTCCTCTCCTGGTTGACCCCACTCCAGTGCACTCTGAACACCCTCTCTGATGAAACTCCTTTTGGATTGCACCCACCCACACACACCAGAGTCCCCCAAACTCTCTGGTTTCTCCTTGTCATTCTTCTTCCATTCCTGCATCACTCTGTATGGCTCTTAAAGGTTGGTGTTTCCCAACATACAGGTGTCCAAAAAAGTATACACACATTAACAGCTGATAGCTCAATTTTGAAAATAAAATGTATTTTAATAAAAACTATAATTAGCCGAAACTGGTTTGGCTCAGTGGTAGAGCGTCGGTCTGCGGACTAAAAGGTCCCGAATTTGATTCCAGTCAAGGGCATACGTTGGTTGCGGGCACATCCCCAGTGGGGGATGTGCAGGAGGCGGCTAGTCGATGTTTCTCTCTCATCGACGTTTCTGGCTCTCTATCTCTCTCCCTTCCTCTCTGTAAAAAATCAATAAAATATATTTAAAAACAACAACAACAACAAAAAACTATATTTAATGTGTATGCCTACTTTTTTGGGACACCCCATCTTATACCATCTTTCAGCAGTATTCACATTTTTCTACTGCCCATCCCTTTTTATGGCATTAACCACCTTGTGCTTATGACTCCCAAATCTGGGCCTCTGACCCCAATCTTATCCTCCAAGCTCTACACCAAACTTCTACCTGGCTCTTAAACTTGCCATATGGATTTCCTGCTGGGGTCTCAAACGCCCACTTATAGGACAAGTAACTTGTCTTTCCATATAACTTTCTTTTGCATTTGTGTTTCCTCTTAATAAATGACATAATCATGTGCCTCATCACCAGGGAAACTAAAAATCCTTGCCATGGCCAGTGTGGTTCAATTATTTGGGCATTGTCCTGTGCACCAAGAAGTTGCTGGTTCGATTCCCAGCCAGGGCACATGCCCTGATCCCCAATAAAGGGCATGCATGACCGATGTTTCTCTCTCCCTTTTCCTTCCTCTCTCTAAAAATCAATTATATACATACATTTTTTTTTAAATCCTTGACTCCTTCTAGTGAACTAAGACGGAATTGTACCCAAGTGAAAGTGATAAAGTTGGTGTCATGTAAACATTCACAGACTCCACTTAAGGATGCCTGCTCACTTACACAGTTCCCTCATCTCTGGGGGCAGAGAATATATGTCTCTTAGTCACTCCTCTTTCACAGTCCTATAGCACAAGCCTGAGCTCCTTGAAGGGAGGAGTTGATTATGCTTTGTTCACTTACACATTTCTAGTATCAGCTCAGTGCCTGCCACTAAATAAGTAGATGATCAATAAATACTATGGATTATAACTTAGGAGGATGTATGTATGGATAATGTTCCTCGGATTTTTCCATCCAAGTATGTATGGTGATAGGGAAAAAGATGGCCGCAAAGTGAGGAGACCATCCTCACTCTGACACCAGTTGCAAGCTTGCAGACCCCCCAAACTAACCTCAGGTTTGATAATTTGGTAGAAGGCCTCACAGAACTCACAAAAAGCTGTTTTACTTATGCCTATATTTTATTGTAGCAAAAGGATGCAGATTAAAATCAGTCAGGGGAAGAGGTACATGGGGCAGAGTCCCAGAGACTTCTACATGCAGAGATATCATTTGGCTTCTTCCAGTGGAACTGTAGACAGTGATAACTTCTTGAAGCAAATATAAGTGACCGGGTGCATGGAGCATTGCCAATCAGGGAGGATCACCTGAGCATTGCTGTTCAGAGTTTCACTGGGGCTAGCTCATGTACATAGTTGATTCTCGCGTGGCTGACCTCATCCTCCAACCCTTCCAGAGGTCAAGCTGATACAATGTGGGCCCTAAACCCTATAAGCATAACATTTTTTTTGGGGGGAAACATAATATAGTATCTTGGAAATGTATGCAAATATTATACATTAGTTCCTAATGTGTGTCTCTTTTATTATAATATGCAAAATGTTTAAAAATACTTACTGTGGAGTAAAACTGACACTCTTAAGATAACCACATTTATCTTGTGGCTTTTAAAACGGTTCCACTGTTTCGATTCTAGTCAAGGGCATGTACCTTGGTTGCGGGCACATCCTCAGTAAAGGGTGTGCAGGAGGCAGCTGATCGATGTTTCTCTCTGATCGATGTTTCTAATTCTCTATCCCTCTCCCTTCCTCTCTGTAAAAAATTAATAAAATGTATTTTAAAATATATATTTTATTGATTTTTTACAGAGAGGAAGGGAGAGGGATAGTTAGTTAGAAACATCGATCAGAGAGAATCATCGATCAGCTGCCTCCTGCACACCCCCTACTGAGGATGTGCCCGCAACCAAGGTACATGCTCTTGACTGGAATCGTACCCGGGACCCTTCAGTCCGCAGACTGATGCTCTATCCACTGAGCCAAACCAGTTTCAGCAAAATGTATATTTTTAAAATAATAATAAAAAAAAAACCGTCCCACTGTTGAGTGCCTCTGTGGTTGGGGTTCCCAGTTTGGTCACCTAAGTCCCTATTATCAAAGTTGCCAATAGCTTCCATATAACCAAATCCAAGAGCCACTTCTTGACCTTTTAACAAGATAGGCCTTCTTCTTCTTCTTCTTCCTCTTCTTCTTCTAGGGAAGTAATTCATTTTTTAAAAATAAATCTTTATTGTTCAGATTATTACAATTGTTCCTCTTTTTCTCCCATAGCTCCCCTCCACCCAGTTCCCACCCCACCCTCTGCCCTTACCCCTCCCCCACTGTCCCCAGCCTTAGGAGTATGATTTTTGTCCGATCTCTTTTCCCACACACCCCACACCCTTTTCTCCTCCCCTCCCTCCCCACCCCCCTGGTCAGCAAACTCATTAGTCAACGGAGCCAAATATCAACAGTACAATGATTGAAATTTCTTTTGAGAGCCAAATTTTTTAAACTTAAACTTCTTCTAACGCTACTTCTTCAAAATAGACTTGCTCAGGCTGTGGTATTTTTTGGAAGAGCCACACTCAAGGGGCCAAAGAGCTGCATGTGGCTTATGAGCTGAAGTTTGCCGACCAAGGCGCCCAGGAATTGTCAGTCATCTCCCTTTCTATGCCCCTGATTCTATTATACTCATCAGTTTATTCTGTTCATCATTTTTTTATTTACTTGATATTTAGATTCACTTGTTGATAGATATGTATTTGTTGTTCATAATTTTTATCTTTACCTTTTTCTTCTTCCTCCTCTTCTTAAAAAATACCTTTCAGCATTTCATACAATACTGGTTTGGTGGTGGTGAACTCCTTAAGCTTTTTCTTATCTGTGAAGCTCTTTATCTGACTTTCCATTCTGAATGATAACTTGGTTGTAGGTTCTTGCTACTTATCACTTTGAATATTTCTTGTTACTCCCATCTGGCCTGCATAGTTTCTGTTGAGAAATCAGCTGACAGTCGTATGGGTATTCCCTTGTAGGTAACTGTTTTTCTCTTGCTGCTTTTAATATTCTTTGTCTTTTGCTCTTGGCATTTTAATTATGATGTGTCTTGGTGTGGTGCTTTTTGGATTCCTTTTGTTTGGGGTTCTGTGCACTTTCCTGGACTTGTATTATAAGTTGATTTTTTTTTTTTTTTTTACCAGGTGGGAGAAGTTTCTGTCATTATTTCTTCAAATAGGTCTTCAGTATCTTTTTTTTTTTTTTTTTTTTTTTTTCAAGTAGGAAAGATCCTTTTATTGGGGTGGACACTGAGCACGCACCAGTCCATGATAAAATGACTTAAGAGAATGATCCGAAAGGGTTGACTTCTTCCTGTGGCGTACTCTCAGCACAGGGTCCGGGCATGGCATTGATCCCGGTGGGACGGGCGTCAAGGCCAAGTCTTTGAGGCCAGACCAGGAGATGGAAGCGGGGAGAAGGGCCCCACCCCTGTCACCCAGCTGCAGCAGGGCTTATCTCTAGACACTCGAAGACACACTCTGGTTCTCCAGAGAAGGACCGGGGAGCAGGAGGAGGGGGCTTGGGGTGGGGTGGGGTAATGAATAACAATGTTGTTTTTCAAGAAGCATCTACCAACATCACACTACTGGGTCTGACATCCCCTTTAACCATCGCTCGATACATTTTACAGCATAAATAAAGACTCGAGAAAAATAAATACATCGGCTCCTATGAGGTTGAAAGTGTTGTGCATGGCGGGGTGTGGGTAGGCGGACCAGTGGGGAGAGTGGGCAGGATGCTTACACACGGCAGGCGGGTGAGGAGCAGACAAGACGGGAGGCACCTATGGGGGAGCATCAGTCTTAAGTGTCCTCGTGCATGTCTGGGCTGTCGGTCCGTGCGACCTTGCGGGGAGGCGCCGAGCTCTCGCCCTCGAGGTCCACTTGCTCCTGGTCTCTCTTCTTGGCAGCGTTCTTTTTGTCCCATTGCTGGTGTAGGTAGCGCAAAAGGATGTTTGTTTTTTCTGTCACGATGATGAGGCTTTACACACAGAGTCAGCATGAAATCGACTAAAGTTGCTTTTGTTGTAGACTGGCAGTCCTTTCAAAAAATCTGCCATCTTCTGCTTCCTCTGTCGCCGCCTCAGCTACTGCCTCAGCCGCCGCCGCCGCCACAGCCGCCTCCTTAGCCGCCGCCGCCGCACAGTCAGGTCTTCAGTATCTTGCTCTCTCTCTTCTGGCACCCCCATAATTTGGGTGTTGGTATGCTTGAAGTTGTCCCAGATGCTCCTTACACTATCTTCATATTTTTGGATTCTTTTTTCTTTTTTTCTTTGATAAGTTGAATGTTTTTTGCTTCTTTGTATTTTAAATCTTTGATTATTCTGGTCCTCTAGTCTGCTGGGTCTTGCTAAATTTATAGGCCTGAAAATTCTTGAAAAACCTTCTAGCCATGGTTTTGAACTCTATATCCAATCATTTGATTTCCTCCATTTCTTTCATTTGTGATCTGTTTGTCTCTGCATTTTGGTTGCTTCCCTGAGTTGATAGAGTGACTTTGTGTGCTAGGTATCTTATAGGCCCCAGTGGCTCAGCTTTCCCAGTTACCTGAGGTAGACACTCTTGATGCATCCCTTTGTGGGCTGTGTGCACAGTCTTATTGTAATTAAGCCTTGATTGTTATTGGTATCACTGGGAGGATTTGACCTCCAGGCCAATTGGCTATGAGGATCAGTTGTGTCCGTGTTGGGAGAACTTCTGTGCTGGAGACACCCTTATGAGACAAGACTATAAAACAAAACATCTGTCACCCTAAATCCAAGGGAAAGCTGGCTGAAAGGAAGCCCTACAACTAGACTGAAAGACTGAAAGAGAAAGAGGAGAATTCAGGGCACAAGTGCTGAAAAACTGAGGCAGCGGGGCGCGGATGCGATATGGGCTGGTGGTGGATCCCAGTTAGCTGAGGGCATTGCTTTCTTCAACCTGAAGAGAGACAAGCTCCCAATCTCTCTGAAATCCATTTTCTGGGGGGAGGCTAGATTGTCTGCCATCAGGTCGGAAAGTGAGGGTGGCTTGCTTGCAGAGTTTTGCGCAAGAATATTTGTTTGCTCTGCTGTGGTGCGAGACGCGGGGAGACAGGAGATGAGGTCGGGGAGATGTGGAGAGGTATGGAGAGGTGGCTTACGGGCAGCCATCGCTGTTGGCCACACCCCAGCCTAGTGATGCCCTGAGACTCTGCTCTGAGGACAATTTACAAACACACCCAAGCTTTAAGCAGCGGCTTTTGCATATGAATGGCCCTCTCAGTTACAGTTTAACCTAGCAAAGGAGGAGAGGACTGTGGTTCTTGCTGTAGCTCCTGCAGGGTGGCCTCAGACAGAGGCTGAACTACACTCCATTGGAGATCCAGAAGCCAGTGTTCCTAGTGCTCAGTTTTAACCCCTCACACCAAAAGTAACACATTCGGGAGATGGAATCCAAAGCCCCACTGGAACAAGGCGTGTCTTCAGTGCAACAGTTCTTCCTTCATAGACACAGCAGGTCCTCACAGACAATTGGCCTGGAGTCATTCCTCCCAGTATACCAACGGCAATCAAGGCTTAATTACATCAAGACTTTGCACTCAGCCCACAAAGGGATATAGCAAAATCGACCACCTCAGGTGATTGGAGAAGCTGAGCTACTGGCCCCTATAGGTCACTGACCACATAAAGCCACTCCATCAACACAGGAAGGCAACCAAAATGTGGAGACACAGAAGCATGTCACGAATTGGAGAGATGGAGGAAAGTAAACTACTGGACAACACAGAGTTCAGAATCACATTTATAAGGTTACTCAAGAATCTTCTAAAAACTGCTGAGAAACCTGATGAGACCTCCAAGAAGCTTTGTGAGACCTTCAAGGACCTTAATGAGAATATATATATAAAAAAAAAAAAATGTAAAAGGACCAGCCAGAAATTAAGCATACACAGAATGAAATAAAGTATAGAAACTCAACTATAGATCAACGTGCCCCAAGAATCAAACCAAAGATCTGGAATATAAGGAAGCAAAAATCACCCAACTAGAGAGACAAAAGAAAGAAGAATCCAAAAGTGAGAGGATAGCGTAAGGAGCCTCCGTGACGGTTTAAAGTGTACCAACATCCGGAGTTTTGGGGTGCCAGAAGAAGAGAGCAAGCAGGATATTGAAGGCCTATTGGAAGAAATGACAGAATGACAGAAAACTTTTCCTACCTGGTGAAAGAAATAGACCTACAAGTTCAGGAAGTGCACAGAACCCCAAACAAGAGGAATCCAGAGGACCACACCAAGACACATCATAATTAAATGCCCAGTTTTCCAACATAGAGAAAATCTTACAAGCAAGAAAAAAAAATAGCTAGTTACCTATAAGGGAATACCCATATGACTGTCACCTGATTTCTCAACAGAAACTATGCAGGTCAGATGGGAGTGGCAAGAAATATTCAAAATGACGAACAAGAACCTACAACCAAGATTACTCTACCCAGCGAAGCTATCATTCAGAATTGAAGATCAGATGAAGAGCGTCACAGACAAGAAAAAGTTAAAGGAATTCATCAACACTAAACCAGGATTACATGATATGTTGAAGGGTATTCTTTAGGAAGAGGAAGAAGAAAAAGGTAAAGGTAAAAAATTATGAACAACCAAAAGATATCAAATACATACCTACCAACAAGTGAATCTAAAATCAATTGAATAAAAAATCTGAAGAACAAAATGGACTGGTGAATACAGTAGAATCAGGGACATAGAAAGGGATTGGACTAACACTTCTCAGGGAGAAGGGGATCTGAGGGGTGTGGGAAGAGATTGGACAAAAATCTTATGCCTATGGATGAAGACAGTGGCGGGGGTAAGGGCATGAGATGGGGTTGGGAATCAGATGGAAGGGAGCTATTTGGGGGGGAGGAGAGGAACACCTGTAATAATCTGAACAATAAAGACTTATTAAAAAAATTAGTACATATAAAGTAACTGTTTTACACATTTCCTTCCTATTAAAAAGTATGAAACTTCCAAAACACAGTACAGTTTAAAAACTTTTATTGGTAATAGCATGTTTTCATGTCTGTGCTTTGCAACTAATGGAAATATATTAGATGGAGATCAGAAAATAGAATAATTTAAGTGAACACAATGAAGACATAATTTATAAATGCACAAATTTAGTCAAACTTTGTTATATAATAAAAAAAAAAATCTGCTTCAATTGTTCCAAATAGTATTAAAAACAATCACATACACATATGGAAAAAAGAACATTTTGTTTTATTTTAACTTGCACAGTGGTCCTCATTAAAAGAAAATGAAAAGTGCAGAAAAAATATTTCTCAAAAATCTTATCAAATTACTTGTAATAATAGGTTTTTGTAAAGATTTTTCTTTAGGAATGAAAATGTGAGTATCTTAAGAAAGTAGCGTGAATTATTAAGGTTAGTAGATGTATGTTGGAAAACTGAGATTTTAGGTGGCTCAAACTCCAATGTTCCTGTGCATCAGAAGGGGATTCTGTTGTGTCTGTAAGCCAAACTAAGTAGGAAGAGATTTTTCTTGGTTCACTGACAGTTTTTCCCATTAGTGATTGGCTTTATTATCAACTAGAGGCCAGGTGCATAAAATTCATGTATGAATTAGGTCCCTAGGCCTGGTTGGTGATCAAAGCTCAAGCATTTGGAGAGGAAGGGAAGGTCCCAGCTGACCTTTGGGCCCTGGGCATCACGTGGGGCCCCAGGCCCCAGTGTACCCCCTCCACCTGAGTCATTGGGTTCCCGCTTGGCTCCCTCAGTGCCTGGGAGCTGGGCGGAGGGCCCACCCTCATCACTGTCGCTGGTTTCTGTCTTCAGGACAATCAAGGATTGGACCCCGCCTGCACCTGCCTTGGCCTGGTGCTGCTTGCTCATTTCCTCCACCATACCACTGCAGCCCGCTCTCGTTGGGGCCCATCAGGTCTGGCAGCACCTCTACTGCTGCCCACTGCCAGCACCACGTTATCATTGCCTGCCATATTCTGCGCTGTCCTCTGGTGACCAGTGCACATCATAGCAAGAAGTTGAACTCCCGGTCAAAGGGACAATTTGCATATTAGGCTTTTATTACATAGGATTAGAAACAGCTTCATCCTGAAAATTTATTGCTAGATGGCTGGAAAGGACCATTAGACTGAAAATTTCTAGCACAAGTGAACTGAGAAACATCATTCCCAGCCTGAGACTCTATTATCAAATAGAGAAATGTTCTGTATTAAAATTGGTCTTAAAACATAAAAAATGTGAAAACAGCAAATACCTCAAAAATGGAAAAAAAAACAAAACCACAAAATTCTGAAAAGTACATGATCAACATGATTTACTTTAACTATCTAAAAGTATTCACAAAAGTCTATTTACAAAGTGTGCTTACATTGCATTTAAAAAGACATGTATCAGGTGTTAATAAGTCATTATAATAGTTTTATAAAGATTCATATCCTTTCAAATATTAGTCATTATTAAAAAACAAAAAAAGGCTGTAAACTGTCATTGCCTCGAAAGAGCACGTGATCTTAAGGGAAGAAACATCTCACTAGAGTTTCCAGTTTCTTCTTCTAGTTGCAAATCTGGGGGCAAAGGAGGAGCCCCAGGGTCCCCAGGTCTGGGAAGTGTAGTTGAAGAGAATGTAGGGTTTTCAGTTTTGCCTACTTCTAGGACAGGCAAATTCAGAGATGAATTAGTAGAAAAAAAGGGGGCTGTGCTGGATTCTCCTTCCGGATGGTACATAGTGGACGCTCTCCGTTTTTCAGAGAAATAACTCTCATCTGAATTTGATCTAGAGAGGTTGTTTGTGGCTCCATCTGGAAAAGGTTCACAGTTGCTACATTTTAGTCCTATAATAAAATTATTCAGATGTTAATAAGAAGTAACAAGAAAATTGAGTTCAATTTCAAAGATTACAAACTAGTTACCACACAAAATTTAAATAACAATTTATAAATTCTGTCATAATTCATTTCACATTTCATTTGCTTTTCCCAACAACTTGAAGTTTGTCCAATTATTTACATTTTCTAGGTAAGGAAATAGTCTCAAGGAAGCTAAATAACATGCTATAAACTCATTTTGTATATTTATATCCTTAACTATTGGAAGACCTGGGAAAAATAAAATAGCCATTAAAAATTTTCATAAAATAAGAAATGGCTTTTAGCGCTGGGTTGGTTTGGCTTGGTGGATAGAGGTCGGTCTGCTGACTAAAGGATCCCAGGTTAGATTCAGGTAAAGGGCACATGCCCAGGTTGTAGGCTCAATCCCCAGTAGGGGGCGTGCAGGAGGCAGCCAATTGATGATTTTCTCTCATCATTGGTATTTTTTTCTCTCTCTTCCTTTCTCTTTGAAATTATATATATATATATATATATAAATGGCTTTCACAAATAATATTCTTTGACATACTGTAACAAAAAAACATTATCTAATAAAAACAAAATTTAAACAGGGTATATCTAAAATTCTTTGAGTTAATGAATCTTAATTACTGAGTCTTGAATCATAGGGTGTTAGAAGTGGAAGGGATTTTAGAGGTCATCTGGGAGAGTCTATATATATATTGAGTCTCTCACTATTAAAGATGGGCAAACAGGGGCCCAGAAACAGTGAAGTCATGCCCAGCATTCCAGGACTACTTCATGGGAAAGACAGAACTAGATCCCAGGTTTCCTCTTCACATTAAATAATGTGAAGGTTTTCAACCAATCAACTTACTTAAGTGATGGCAGTTGTTCTGATCAAAGAATTTTACCATATCGAAAGGGTATAGCCAACAATTAGCCTCAATATAGAAAGAATAAACATAAACACAATTTATTTTTCTGTTAGGCTTAGCAAAAATATTCAACCCATAACTATCCATGGACACAGAACCTTCTGAGTTGACAAATGTTATATAAAACCTGCAGAGTCTATAAAGCACATTTATATATCATTTTTCCCCCACTAGTCTTCCAACTTCACAATATAGTCAGTATTTCTGTTCCATGCTATAGAAACTATTTTCTTAAATATGGATCAGAAGGGAAAACTTCCATTGTGTTCCAGCATGCACTTACAGACAGTGAGCTCCTTAAGGGCAGAGCCCTAAATTATTCATTTCTGTATTCCCAGTGCCTACAGCAGCTGGAGTAGAGCTACATAGTATTCACATTTAACGTAATTGCACTAGAAAGAGAGATGGAGAATGAGATGGGGTTTAGAGCAAGGGGTGGATTTAAATTGTACAGGCTATTCTACTGAGCATTCCAATCAGTGAGTGTGTGCGCTCTGGGTTAGGGTGAAACAGGAGACATGGATTTGCTATTCCTTCATCCACCTCAGTTCCCATGCCTCTCTTTTTGCCAAACTGAGTATAATTCTAGTGTTTAAAGTTATGTATAATTTATACAACATGATTCTTATAAACACAGCCAACTACTTCATCTTGTGATCAACTGGTAAGAGAAAAACTGAGTTGGACTTATCAAAATACTTTGCTTGTATACTATTCTTTATGTGTTAAGTGCATTTTCAGGAGTTACTTTTGACGAGATTAATCTGCCATTCTGCTTTCTTTAGAAACAAACCCCTGTGTACACTGGAATTTTATTATAGTTACATTTTCTATAAATAATACTATTAACTGAATATAAATACAGAACATTAAGTAATATTCTATTTTTCCAGTACAATATCCTACTATATATATGGTTAAAAATGCAAATGAATGTAATTCTGAAGATTAAACTTCCCAATGCAAAATTATCATTTCTGTAGTTTTTGTTTTTGTATTTTACTTTTTAAAGCATTGTTACATTTAAATAAACTCTTGGATACCTAAGATATTTACCTTTCAGATGTTCTAGTTTTATATTTCGAAGTTTTAGCACTTCATCTGTAATCTTCTGTATCAGAAAGTTCTGTGTTTTTTCTCGCCGAATAGATTCAACAAGGGTATCTAGTCCTTTGGGGTTTTCTTGTAAGTAGTCTAACAATTTTCCAGCCCTTTTTCTACTTGATGTTCGGCAAGAAATTTCTTCAGTGTCTTCTCTACTGAGTATTTTTTTTGCACGCAGATGATCAAAATGTCTCTCAGCTATGATTTTTTCACACAGATATACACGCAAATTTTCTAAAGCCTGAAAGACATAAAATGTGCTTCAATGTTATTTATTTATTTATTTATTTATTTATTTATTTATTTAACATCTAAGGAAACCACGTTGGAATCTTAACTGGTGAAAGAAAACATCCTGAAGTTGGAGGTTCAGGCTTACTAAAATGCATGCTATTAAAATGAAGGTCAAGTAGATAAAAGCAAGTCCTAGATGAGACGTTCCTTACAGCCTCTGTCCTCCTCTGATCCCATTTTCACATCTATAAACCAAGACCAGGCATTGTGAGGAGAGGTCATGGTAATCCACAGGGTCTGGGCCCGTGGAAATAGAGAAGTCTGCTGAAGGCAACCTTTGGGGCTAAAGATGAGACCGGAGGTTTCCATACATTTCAGTTACCATTAACAAAGAATACAGAATTAGTCAGGGCCAGAGAGGGCAACTTAAGGTCTCAAAGCTTTTAATTTCCTCATGTTTGTTAATTTTCCACCTTCCCTGAGTAAAACCATTATTTAAAAAAAAAACAAAAAAAAAACTCACTAAACTAAAAGGACCCATAATGTGTCTATCTTTGGAGTCGGCTGGAAAGACTAGTGAGTCAGTTAGTATAAGGCAGGAAGAAAGATGTGGACAAGGGAGGAGAAAGGAGAAACCTAACCTAAAGGAATAGTGAATGTTGAAAGAAATTAAAGGAAATCACAGAAAACAGGTCTAGACCTGAGAAGCAGCTAAGGGGGCTTAATTAGCAGAACAATGACCTGGGTCCAAATAAACAGCATCAATAGTCCAAAGCCAGTGATGTACTCTAGCTCCTCCACTTACTACATGATCATGGATAAGTAACTCCTCTGTGCCTCAGTTTCCTCATCTAAGTGTTATGAGGAATAAGTACATGTAGAGTTCTTAGAGAAGTTAATGGTCAATAAACGTTACTGATGGTAACAATGATAACTAATTTGACTTACATTTATAATGATGATCAAAAAGCAACGGAAGATTTTAGAAATACCCTAGTATATAGTGGCAGAAAAGTACGTTAGGTGAAGGGTTCCTATAGTTCTCAATCCACTGAACCACAATATTCATTTATTTATTCACACAACCAACATCCATATATCTAAATACTAATATACCAAGTGCTGAGCATGCAAAGATCAACAAGACTTGAATCCTACATGCAAAGGGCATATGGTCTAGTTGGAGAGTACATATCACATGCAAGCCAATAATTATAATAAAAGACAATGTAATATGATACAGAAATTAAAAGACTGGGGAAGCACAGAGTAAGCAATTCACTCTACCTACAAAATCTGGGAAATTTACAGAGGCTACACTTTTGCTAGAGGCAAGGTGCACAGTGGGAAAATACCAACAAGACTGGGGTAATTGGAACACAGACTGCATGTGACAGGATAGTGAGGAATATAATAGGAAGGAAAACTGGGTTTAAATCACGGAAGAATTTTAAAAAATATATGTTTTTACTGGTTTTAGAGAGAGAGGAAGGGAGAAGGAGAGATAGAAACATTGATGCTTCAACATCCATTGGCTGCCCTCAGCACCCCCCTCTGGGGATCGGGCCCACAACCCGGGCATGTGCCCTGACAGAATTGAACCAGTGACCTCTTGGTGCGAGTCAACAATTGACCAGGCAAAAGAATTTTTATAACATGTTGAGGAACACACATTTCCCTGTAGCCAAAGGAGTCATCTAAGGTTTATCAATAAGAAACAATAAGAACATTTTTGCAGAGAACTGGGAGAAGCAAAAACTAGGGTTAGAGTAGACCAATTAGAACACTGCTATAGTATCCTACCTAATAAAAGAGTAGTATGCAAATTAACCTTACTTGCTATACCCTTAAGCCATACCCACTAGCCAATCAGAGCAAGTATGCAAATAAACCCAACCAAGATGGCTACAGCCACAGAGAGCAGGAGGGAGGCTTGGGTTTCCCAGGCAACAGAGGAAGCCAAGCTTTCCGCCTGTCCTAGCTGGCCTAAGCCTCCACTCAAGGCTACAGTTTCAATTATAGAAGGTAAACAAGTCCAAATAGAAATGGCAGCAGCACAGAGCTGGAAAGAGCGGGAGCTAGGGTTGTCCCCAGCAATGGAAGAAGCAAAGCTTTCTGCACTCCCTGGCCAGCCCAGGCCTCTGCTTAAGGCTACACAGTTTCAATTATAGAAGACACATAAACCCAACAGAAATGACTGCTGGCCAGGCCATGGAGTGAGCAGGAGGCCCGGCTCTGCTCCAGGCTACAAAGTTTCAATTGTAAAAGGTAAATAAATTCCAGATACCAGGGCCTCCACTTGGGTCACCAGGGGGGCGTGGCTGGCCTGCAAACCACCTCAATCAGGCTGCCCCACTCTCCAAGGGAACCCCCACCCTGATCTGGGACACCCTTCAGGGTAAACCAGCTGGCCCCCACTCGTGCACCAGGCCTCTATCCTATCTAATAAAAGAGTAATATGCAGATTGACTATCACTCCAACACACAAGATGGCTGCCCCCATGTGGTCAAAGATCCTGTCCCCATGTAGACACAAGATGGCCACCACAAGATGACCAGCAAGGGAAGGCATTTGAGAGGGACCAGGCCTGCAGGGGAGGGCAGTTAGGGGTGACCAGGCCTGCAGAGGAGGGAAGTTGGGGGCAAACAGGCTGGCAGGGGAGCAGTTAGACATCAATCAGGCTGGCATGGGAATGGTTAGGGGGTGATCAGGCTGGCAGGCAGAAGTGGTTAGGGGCAATCAGGAAGGCAGGCAGGTGAGCAGTCCTGGACTGTGAGAGGGATGCCCGACTGCCCGTTTAGGATCAGACCTCGAGGGGTCCCACATTGGAAAGTATGCAGGCTGGGCTGAGAGACATCTCCCCCCCCCCCCCCCCCATTCTGTGCACAAATATTGTGCACCGAGCCTCTAGTATTACAAGAGACAGACTAGATATAAAAGATGAACCCCTTGAAAAACCTCATCGGTTATTATTTCTCCCACCTGTATGATGGTGATTCCCATATTTTTGTATGTGATCAAGACTTTCTCCACCTAGACATCCCAAAGGAACTTCAAATTCAACACCATAAACCAGATTTATCTACACCTTTTGATGTTCTCATCCATCCACCCATGCAATTATGCTATAAAACCTACAATTTGACTTCTCCTTCTCCGTCACTCACTTGCTTCATCTGATCATTCACCCTCCAAGATCTGCCACCCTATCCTTTATGTTGATCTAATTTTCCCCTTCACTTCATCTCTATTATTAGCATCACTCTAGTTCAGGTCCTTATATGTTGCATGGACTATTAACAATGGACACTTAGCTATACTTCCTACTTTTCTCCTCCCTCTCAAATCTCCTTCACACACCTATCTGATCTTCCAATTTTTCAAAAAAAAAAAAAAAAAAAAAAGAAGAAATCTGGAGTGTTATATAGAGTCTAATATTGAAATGTCACCAGTGAATTTTTTTTTAAACAATTTAAAACACTGTGTTCCACACTTGACTTAAAAGGATCAACTTCCTCAACACTGGCAGAATAGGTCTCAGACCAACCTCAGTTCAAATTTTGAGAACTAGGGCAAGTTACTTAACCTCTCTAAACTTCCTGTGCCTTATTGATAAAATAATAATACTTTAGAGGACTTTTAGGAGGACTAAATGAGACAGTGAATATAAAGACCTGACAGTCTATGATTGGGTTGTGCACAATAAATAATTACTTGATAATGTCAGACAGGGCACTTCACAGTATGGATCCTACCTACCTCTCCAGTTTAATCTATCACTGGATTAAACTTTACAGGTATCACATAAAGTCCTGGTACTTTATGTGGTACCTATAACTGCTTGTTCGGAACTCTACATCTCTTTATGTTTTACTTTTATCTTGTTTTCTCTTCTCTATACCCCAAGTTGCTATTCATCCTTTAAGATCCAGGACAGTGGTCATCTCCTTCAGAAAGTTTTACCTAAACTCCCCAGAGTAAGTTAGGCCTCCCTCTCCTCTGTCCTTGTGGTACCCTATGCATACATTTCACTTCTCTATACACCAAGACTCCACTTTTCATCTCCCAATTCATCCCGGCATTTCCATTCTGTCTCACCACTCTTCTCAAAGTCACCAATGACCTCCTTAATGCTAAATCTGATACTTTCCAATCATCTCACTTCTCAGCAACATGAACACAGTTGACCACTACTTTCTTGAAATACCTTTTTGTCTCATGTTACCACACTCTCCTGGCTTTCTTCCCATCTCTGTGGCTGTAACTTCTCACTTTTCAAAATTCTTCTATGATTTATCTCTTCCCTTTTAGCTTTCAACTTCCTAGGTGAACACATTTAATCTCATACTTATGTTTCCAGGTCAGATCTCTTCTCTTCTGATCTCCAGACTTATTGGTTAAGTTGCTGATTTGACATTTCCACTTACTAATCTGATTCTACTCTCAACTCCTACATTCAATCCATTGCAAGATGTATCATTTCTATTTCAAAAATGCACCTGGAATTTTCTTGCTCTACCCATTTCCACTGCCTTCAACCTGATCTAAATCACCATCATCTCTTAACTGTATAAATTCTGAAAGTCTCATTAGTTTCCCTCTTTTCACTTTTGCTCTCCTCAGTCCATACAATAGGCAGAGGGATCTTTTAAAATATAACATTAGTTCCTCAAGAAGTCCCTACTGCACTTGTGGAAAAAAATCTGTAAGACACTTAATAATATGGCTCTAGTCCACTTTCCTAGCTTTGCCTCAGGGAACCCTCTGCCCCCAAGTCATAAGATCTTTGCAAATTCTACTCTGCCTAGAATTTTCTTCCCTGAGTTCTGTCATATCCTTCAGGAACCACTTTAAATGTAACCTTCCCTGACCATCCTACCTCAAGGAGATGACCCCTATTATTGTCTCAACATCTGTCTGTCTCCTTAATACTAGTAGTACTTAACATAATTTATAATTATATACTTATTTGTTTTCAACCCTAATGACTTACATGTTTGAAGGAGGCAAGAACCAGATATGTTTTATTAGACTCTGTGTACCCTGAACGCAGCAAGTGATAAGTGAATGGTGTTTTGGATGAATGTGTTTAATAACTTAAAATTATCATTTTATGTCTATCTCCCTCCTCCTAAGAAAACAAGCTCTTTTCAAAGTAGGATTGAAGATTAGTTTTAAAAATTTGAATTGGTTTATTCAACTATAATATCATCCTCATAGCAGCATGTAATCCATATTAATAAAATGGAACTAAATTCAACCAAAAAGAAGATGTAAACTAGATGGGGCAGAAGGGAAGGAGGAGTGTAGGGAAGAAGTGGGAGTTTCCAGGAGGATGGATGGTTGTATACTATTCATCAAGGCAGAGAACACAGAAGGAACAATAAGCAGCTTTGGGGGAGGAATGATGAAAAGTTCAATTTTAGAAAAGGGAAGGAATCTGCAGGTTATAAAAGTTGATTTCCAGCAGATATTTGGAAATATGTGCCTCTAGTTAAGAGAAAAGGTCATAAACTATTTTGGGAAAATATCATGACAAAAATTTTTAAAAAAAATGTGTATATACTTTTCTTTCAGAGACCTTCTGGAACTCATCCATGATTCCCCAAGGTTATGAATTTCTCATATGGCTGTAAAGTGAAATCATGGAAATGGATAGTATCAATGAACTCATAGAAAAAAATAAGGCCTGGAAGCCACTCTTCACATCTGTGTTTGTGTACAGGTTTTATGTCCTTCCACTTGTAATATCCATTGCCTGTTTTATCAACTTCTGGGTCCACGAATGAAAATAATCTCCCTTAGAGACTGTTGTAAAGATTCAATGGGAACATTGTAAATTGTGTGAAACAACATCTGGAACACAGCAAAGCCTAGCTCTCTTGAGTTCATGGTTTTACTGGCACACATCTTGAATAAGACAGCACTAATTTATTATTACATATTAACTATCAATGTCCCAACCTTATCTCATCTAGAATGTAAAGCAGGAGCCTGTTATTGTTTTTGTATCTGTCCAGGCTAAAGGATAGTACTTTCCACTTAGTAAGTGTTCCATAACATCAGCTAAATGACAGAAGTCCAAGTTATGTACCATTTCCTCCTGCTAATGAACCCAACCATAATCGTGAATACAATATTATAATAAACTTTACAGGAGAGAGAAAAGGAGATTTAAAGTAGATGAACACCTAAAAAACTGTTGTCCTGTCCAGTTCACAAATATGACTGTAAGTTTTGTGCGGTTAAGCCAGAGCACACTTTACGTTGAGTTTCTGTTTTTAATATGAACTGATATAAAACTATGTTAGTGGCAGGCCCTCATACAGATCTCAATTGGCAAAACAACTTAAAGGCATAGGAAAAAGGAGAAACATGTCCTATCTCAACACATTCATTGTTTACGCATAAATAGTACGATTTTTTCTGCAGCATCCAAGCAGAACAAAACTTAACTACCAAATATTTTCAACGTTGGCTGGTAAATTTAATTGTCGGGCTACAGGTACTCATCCCCCTCCCCTCAATTTACATATGTGGGCGTTTGCTTACGAGGGGGAATTCCAGGTCGTGCTTTCAGCTGTTGAGCTTCTTCCCCCAGCCCCCTTTGCAAAAAGAGTTTCACATATTTGCTCCACTGCTGCTGGGGATCCTTGTATCGGGTGCAGCCTTTGCAGCAGGTGGAGCCAGCCAGCAGCCTGGGGAGTCGGACTCGGGATGAGCGAGAGCCGCGGGTCCCTAACGCGGCTTCCGAGCGCGAAGGGCGGGATCGCCAGGGGACGGAAGAGGAGGGGGCACGGAGCGGACCGCGAAGAAGCAAGCGCTCCACTGCACCAAGTTCCGGGCGCCCGAGCTCTGATTTCAGCGATTCAAAACGTAGATTAACAGCTGGCCGTGTGTGTGTGTGTGTGTGTGTGTGTGTGTGTGTGTGTGTGTGACTTCCATTGAGGCTCCCCGCGGCCCGGCCCGCTCCTCCCACCCGCAGGCTCCTCCTCCGACCCCCCGACTCCGACTCTCCGGGTTTCCGCTTTCCGTGCCCGCCGAGCAGCAGCCCGCCCCCGCCCGCCCCCAGCCCGCGGGGCGCCAGAGGGCGGGATGGAGCTACTCACGTCCTTCTTCACTTCAGTCAGGTCCTCCTCCGTGAGGGACAGCGCGGTGGGCTCCATGGCGGAGGCGGGGAGGCGCTTCTTCCGGGTCCGGGAGTTCCGGCGGCGGGCGGCCCCACCTAAACTGGGGGCTCCGGCCTCGGGAGGAGGGGCGAAGAGCGGAGGCGGAGCGGGAGGAAGAGCGCTGCCCCTTGGGAAACAGAAAGGCTCGGGGTCGAGACGGAGCGCTTCCTGCCTCGCCTCGAGGGTGACAGCGACGCAGACCAAAGTGACCGACGACGCGGCCCTTGGAACCCCGCAGCTTCCCTCTTCCCTCTCCCGGAGGCTCCGGCGCAGGTGCCTTCCCTCGAGGAGGCGGGGCCGCAGCCAGAGCCCGCCCCCTTCTCTGCGGCAGCCAATGAGAGCCAGCCCGCGGGCCTATCTTGTCCCGCCCCCCCGCCCTTCCGGAGCCTTTCGGGAGTGGCCCCGCCCCCAGCCGTAGGTCATTTGCATGCGGCCGCGGGTGGGCCTCCCGGAAAGGAATCGTTTCCGTGGGTGGGAGCCGCCGTGGCCGCGCCGCCCGCGGGCGCTCCCCGCCTGCGCTGACGTTTCCCCGGCGGAGTGTCCTCCCGGCTGGCTCCTCGGCGCCCTTGGGTGACTCCCCCTTTCCCAGGCCCTGCCCTGCGATTTCCGGTGGCTGTGTTTGCCCACTCAAGTTTTTAATTTATAGGATCACACGCCCTAACTACAATACTAAAAGGGCAAAAGCACCTACAATCCCACCGCTTTAACACATAATTTAACGTTCCTATGCTTTTTTGGTTACTGCTTGTTACACATAGATTTCCTTTTTTCATCTTGTGAAAAAGCACGGCCTTAATAGGGCTTGCAATGAGAATTAAATATAAATGTTAAATGTCTTAGAAGTACTCAGCATACAGCGTGCACTCAATTTATATTTTATTTGTATTACTCAAACATTATGAATATGTCTTGCGCATCTTATTCTGTAAGAGTTCTCCCATGTTATTGCCGGGGACTGGGGAACAGACTGCTGTTCCCAGCCTGGTCTTCTATTAATAATAGAGGAGTATACAAAGCAACATGGGTGATGCAGGGGAGAGCCCTGGGCCCAGCCATTGTTTGGACAATATGCTAAATAAGAATTAGAAGAGGGAATTAGAAGCTCCAGGTGTAGATAAAAATGACAAGAAAACTAAAGACAAACGCAGGGACCCCTGTTATTTAAGGGTCGAGAAAGCAAAAGGACCAGAAAAGAAAAATATTCCCAAAGCCACACCAATGTAGTTTTGATAACACAGGGATTCTGCTTTTAGCATTAACATTATGTCATAGGTCTTTTTCCACATTGATACACAGTATTTTTCCTGATTGCTTAATCTTCCATTATCCTGGTATTACCCAATTTGCTTAACTATTTGTTCTTTCATTTCACAAATATCTATTGAATGTCAACTAAGTGCCAGACACTGTTCTAGGTACTTGAGGAAATCTCGTGTGAACAAAATAGATACATTTCTCTTTCCTCTTGAAGTTTAAATTTTAGAACATGTATGTTTGGGGCAGGCAGATAGACATTTGAAAAGTGTTATGTAAATTATTTATTATGTTAGAAGATGATAGACACTAAGAGAAACTATAAACCAGGGAAGAAGGATGAGGCTTGATGGAGTAGTAAAACTTAAAATATGGTGGTTAATGAAGATCTCTCTGAAAAGGGGAAGTTTGAGTTACCACTTGACAGAAGGGAGGGAATGAACCATGTGGACATAGAGAGAAAGAGAACAGCCAATGAAAAGGATTGTGTGACTGGGAAGGATATGAGGTCCTTGTGTGCCATTGTACATTTACTCTGACATTGTTCTGAGTCACAGGGGTTCACTGAGTCAGATAGGAAGCCGCTGGAGGGTTCTAAGACCAGGAGAGGCATGATCCGATTTAAGATTTGAAAAGGAGCACTTTCACCCTGGTTTTGAAGGAAGGAAGATGGAATAGGGAAGACCAAGTTAGGGAGCTATTTCCATAACTAGGCCCCCAGGATGTGGTAGTTCAGAACAGGTTGGTAGTAGTAAGGGTGAAGAGAAGTGGGGAAATGATTCATTTCCTTTTACAAAGATTGCTGTGGCTGCTGAGTATAGAGTAGTAGACTGTAGGTGTAAGAGAGGAAACGGAGAGACCAGCTGGAGGCTACCACAGTGAGCCAGGCAAAGGGGATGGTGGTGTGACTAGGGTGAGAGCAGTGGTGAACAGTCCTCCATGGTTACCTTGTTATTCCCAGTTCTCCACTGTTATAAGACATTTGGCCCCCAATTTTTCACCTACATATTCCCCATCCCTAAAAAAACAAAATTAAAAAAAAATATACATATTGATTTCAGAGAGAGGAAGGGAGAGAGAGATAGAAATATCAATGATCAGAGAGAATCACTGATCAGCTGCCTCCTGCATGCTCTCTACTGGGTGGGGATCAAGCCCACAACCTAGGCATGGGCCTTTGACTGGAATCAAATCTGGGACCCTTTGGTCTTCAGGCCAACGCTCTATCCATTGAGCCAAACCAGCTAGGACTCCCCATCCTTTTTTATTTTTTATTTATTATCACTTCCTTTTCATAAACTCCCAAAAGCAGCAGTATTGACCCACAAAGAAATGATTATTATTTTTTGTCTTTTCATATGTATTTCCATTCAGAGAATTGGCTTCCCTTCAGAGAATTGGTCCATGTGTGGAAAAGAACTGTGTTTTTCTAGAACTATACCAGCTCTGCTGATGGAGGAAGGGATTCAGAACCCATCCAAGTAAAGTGATTTGAACGATGCCATTTTGACACACCATTTTGGTCCTGCCATTGTAATGTTGCTGTTCAATTGCAGTTCTATTTCAATGAAACGTTTCAAATACACTAAACTATAAAGAATAATATTCCAAACACCCTACACTCATTACCAAGATTTAACAAGTACGGATATTGCACCACCTTTGCTTCCGGCTTTTGACATTCAAATGTTAGTGCCAGACAGCCCCGTTTCTTGAGTCTTCTTTCGATGCTTATTGACTTTCCTGGTCGTTGACCAGGATTTCATTTCTGACACCTCCAACCTTCTTCCATCTTCGACAGTCATTCTGGTATTCATTTATTCAACTAAAAACTTGTGTCTTCTGTGTGTCTGAGATGGGAGTTATGGAATGAGGTGCAGCTGAGCAAGGAGCTTAGGAATTTTTAACAGCTGTAAGTTTAATAGTTTGTTTTTGAGTCCATGCCTCATTGTTCCCAATTGGTGGGTCACATGGTAACTCTATTTTTAACCTTTTGAGGTGAAATGGTAGTTCTGAAAACTTCCTAGTTCATCCTAATGAGATTATTAGAATTACATGGCTGAGTACTATTGACACCAACAAAATGGTAAGACACAGACTCTTAACAGTGTCAAGGGAGACATTTCATAACCCTTGGGAGTCCTCATGGAACAGTGAGGTTGGTTCATAGAGAGTTTTCCACCTGCACCCAAGATACTAGTGACTTCTGTCAACATGCAAGGAAATGTGCCTTATTGCCCTGCTCTTAATTCTATTTGATTCAACATGTATGCTCATGACTTTATGGAATGAATATCTGGAGCTAGAATTAAAATTTTTTTTCTAACTGTGCAATTTTTTCTTCCAATGAAATCCTCCATGGAAGCTAAAAGATAAAACAGATAAAGATGGAGCTGCTCTAAGGGACCATTAAGAAGAGAGTGGAAGGCCCTACCTGCTGGGCTCTTAGATGCTTCCTCTCTCACTCACCTACCTTCCCACCCACCTGGTCCCACCACTCTCAGCCCTTCCACATGATACTCAAGAGCTTGAGAGAGCATTGTTTGAAAATCCATAATACAGAAGGTACTTTTATAACTAACTTGTGGATAACCTAAAACTAAGAACATAAAATACTTTTCATGGCAGACAAGGCCAAGATGAACTCTAACAGGATCAGTATAAAGTAAACCAAACCAAACCCAGACTGAATTTCCCTGGAATGGGTTTTATTGAGAATGAAAACATTTCCTTTCCTGCAAGGTATTCAAGCATATCCCAGACAACTTCTTCTAGAAAGAAGCCATAGAAGAGGATTAAAAAAAAATCATAAGATGAGGTAGTTGTCCTAAGTGATTGTGATAGTGGCCACAACCTTAAGCCTTTGGAAAACCATGTCCATAGGGCCAGAGCTTTTTGTATCCGGAGGATCTCTGCCAACCTGGCCCACAGGATAAGAAGTTGTTGTTTCTCGCCTTTATCTTTCTCCTGATTTTCCTCATCCAGCTCCACTGGGGTTTTGCCTTGAAAAGAGCTGGCAGTGATCATGGGGCTTATCAGAGTTACCATTTTTGTTTAATTTTTAACCTATTATTATTTCATTAGATTGTAACGTTCGTAAGGCCAGCATTTTACCTACTTTTTCAGTGGTGCCTCCTAGAAGAGTGTCTCGCATGTAATAGTGTTAGGAAGGGAGTGACTATGTCTCCTCAAAATTCATGTGAGAAAATCCTAACCCTCGCTGTGATGGGATTAGGAGGTGACTAGTCAAGAGGACAAAGCCCTCATGAATAGGATGGGTGCCCTTTTCCTCCCATGTGAATTTATACAGCAGCCAGCAGTCTGCCACGTGGAGGAGGGCCCTCACCAGATCCAGACCAGGCTGCCACCCTGATCATTGACTTATACAGCTTCTAGAACTGTGAGCAATAAAATTCTGTTATTTACAAGCCACCCATCTGTGGTAATTTGTTGTAGCAGCCTGAGTGGACTAAGATATTCCATGTACAATAAGTACATGTTGAATGACTGACTGACTAAAGAAAAGCTACTTGATGGGAATAAAGTTCCAGTTCTGCAAGATGAGTGTGTTTCAGAGATCTGCTGAACAACATTGTGCCTACAGTTAACGTGACTGTATTTTCTACCTAAAAATTTATTAAGAGGGTAGAGATCATGTTAAGGGTTTTATCCACAATAAAATAAAATGAAATAGAATAAAATGTCAGTGTCATTTTAGCCTCGTCCAGTCCTTCATGGTTCCT